ATGAACATGTATTGCTTGAAGAAAAAAGAGCCGTTGTTTTGTTTGCTTTTTTAGCCTGCTATGTTCCCAAGGATACAGGAAACTATTCTTGAGGTATGCAGACCAAGAAAGGATTATAAAAATACTCACCAACTTTCACATCATGTCTGTCTCATGTGAAAGGCAACTAAATTACCCAACATTTTCTCTGTCTGCTGTAGAGAATAATAGCAAGAGCAGAACCAATTAGTAATCTCTAATTAAACTCTGGGTCTTGCCAGCTGCTGACTGAAAGGATGTTTAATCACAAAAGCCATCATGGTGCCGCTAAAAAGTCCTGAGATGGGAGGGGGAGACCTGAGCACTTGGCCTGAGCTCACACTACTCACTGTTACTAGGAATGAGAACTTGGGCCGTTCACTTTGCCTATGGATCTTATTAAAATAGGATCGGCAGACAAGATGATAGCGGATGTGTCTTTCAGTTCTGAAATGGAATAACCCACTAGCCAGACAAGATTCTGAAATGGTAAAGAAAACGCGAGCTAAACCCATGGGCAGCCAAATCAAGGCACTGCGCAGAGCTGCATCATGAGTGAGCTGCAGTTCAGACACATCCCCTCCACTCCATGTCCTTCCTCAGTTCTGTTTGAAGCTCATGCAGAGGGGTCTGTCAACAGCTCCTTCTTTGTATTTCTAACTCTTCTCCTGAGCTATCCCAGAACTCCTTTAATTAGACAACATCATTGAAGTCACCGGCATTTCTATCTTTCCATGTTCCTATTGTGATTGAATAACTCTTCTTATGGTTAGAACTTTCTTGTTCTTATAATGGGGAGAGACACATGGACAGCCCTCTACCTCTGCCCACTGAAGGCCATGGAGGACAAATGCCCGGGTTCTCTTCTGCCTTTGGAGCACCCAGCCCAAACACCAGCTGTTGGGGCGTCCCAACACCTGTTTCGTACTTCAGCCTCAGTCAATTGACCAGAAAGCCAGGAGTGACAGAATCATCAGTGTAACAGTATAAGCATCTCACAAACTGGCTGGAAATTCCTGAGGAACTGCTTCTTTATGATCTTAGAGATGGCAAAAAGTACAACTGGCTATAAAAAGGACTAAGCAAAATGTATTTCTGTAGGCTGGGACTGCTGGCACAAAGGCACACCAGCCAAAGAGAGCAGGGACTCTCTGTGCTCTAGTGAAAAGAGAGAGTCATTATTTAGTAAAGTTTTTGGCTCCTTTTCCCACTTAAAGCTCTCATACCAAGAAAACATAAGCAATCAATTTCTTCAAATCAATCTTGGATAGACCATTAGAAGATAATAAAGAGAAGTATGTGAACATAAGGTCTCCCCAAATAACTGCTGCACCCCTCCCTTCAGGCATGGTTCATACTGCCAAAGGTCAGGTGATTACTATACTGGCAGTAAGTTGCACTAGGTCAGAAAGATTCTTCCTGCCTGGTTTCTTGTGGTTCAAGGCAAAGGCAAATAATACCACTAGGATTTACCACCGAGACTACTGCTAAACTACAGCAAATCGTCTATGTCAAGACATTAATAGGAAATGTTCCCTTTAATTGAATTTAAGCTTATTGAAGATTTACAAGGCATTTGACAAGAGCAAGGTTTATAGAATGAGGTTTTATAATCCTATGGATTTTACAAAGCAGCGAACTAGCCTCATGCAGTTTTCTGCAGAAGTTTAATTTACTGCAATGATTTGTGCAATTTAAGCAAACTAAAAGCTTCCAGCATGTTTTTCTACCATATACCAACTTTGAAATTAAAATTACAAAAAGAAAGGTCCACAATAAAAAAAAAAAAGTCTTCTTAAGGTAGCAGCTTTCACTCTTAAACTCTTCTCATTAAGGAAGCCAGTCAATTTGGATTTTAAATTGATAAGAAAGAACATTAACAGGTTAATGGGACTTTTGTCACCGCTGTCATTTCTGTGGAGTCTTCCATAAGGAAACTCTGGAGCTGTATCTCTGGGTAATCAACATATACAAAAGCTAAAACCAGTTTATTATAATGAGATCATACTGCCCTGACAGGCATTACTGGGAAAATAAAAGTACAACCCTTTGGAGAAGAGATCACAGCATCAGCATTTACAGTGCAGTGTTCCTTAGCCTGGCTCGCAGAACGCCGAAGCCCCAGAAACTGAGGAGTAGTAGCGTCAGGCAGTGACATGATAAATGTCGATGACAAAAATGGTGACTGCTAAGGGGCAGAAGAAAAGTCACAGAGACACAAACCAGGTCTTCACATCGCCATAAACTAAGCTGGGAAGGCCAGGAGCATGGAGGCGGTATGGGCAAATCTGAGGCCTCCCTGCCTCCCAAGGATCTCCTAAGCAGCTGGCACCGGGGCTGGGACTGCTGTTAGGTGGGTGCAAACGAGCCCCCAGGGTCCCTTCCACACTCCCATCCAGCTGAGTGGTTTGGTGGCTCCCCCTGGTTTTAAACTTCCTTTCTCTTCATTACCTGCTGGTTGTGGAACAGTATTCTAGTTGGTTTGCCAACTAAAGTTGCGGCTTTCCTACCCAACCACCACAGGCCACGCAGCAGCGCACCTACAGTTTCCCGTGGTGGTGAGGGAACGGCAGGTCGGCTGGAGTGCCGACCTCCTGAGCTTGTAAAGTCTGTGTCTTCAGCATCTCGGCTTCCCCTCCCTCTAGCCTTCACCCCCTCCTCTCATTCCCATCTTTCACTTCTAGATGAGTTTTCCCAATGCCCTAAACCTTGTATCCTTCACTCACTGGGATATGTTATAAATTACAGGGAGATAGTCTGTTGTCCCTCATGGGGCTGTTTGCATCTCAACCAGAGTAACATTAAAGGGGGAATACAGCTACAATGTTAGAATTTCAGGTACTATTAAATCCTCCAGGGGGGAGTGTGACTAGGGCCCTAGAGCTTTCCAGCAGCCTGAAATCACACCCAGACAACTTGCCCTATTTATGTAGAAGGCTGGCCTATATTCCTCTTTAGGGAAATCAAAATCCCTTAGTTAGGGACCCAGCAATCAAATGGAAATGGGAGGCACTTCACACTGGCCTGTAACTGACGATTTACTTGCATCCTCACTAGACTACAAGTTTCTCAAAAGCAGAGAAAAATGAGTGGCACTTGTGGCTCAGTGAGTAGTAGGGCACCAGCCCCATATACTGAGGGAGGCGTGTTCAAAGCTGGCCCCGCCAAATTGCAACAAAAAAATAGCCAAGTATTGTGGCGGGCACCTGTAGTTCCAGCTACTCGGGAGGCTGAGACAAGAGAACCGCCTAAGCCCAGGAGTTGGACATTGTTGCTGTGACACCATAGCACTCTACCAAGGGTGACAAAGTGAGACTGTCTCTTAAAAAAAAGCAGAGACCAAATCTAATTGTCTTTACTTTTCTAGATCCCAACATAGCGCTTTCTATCAAGTAAAGATCAATTTAAAAAATGAAGAAAATCAACTAAAAACCCTGGCCTAAACTGGAACAATTTGAGCAAAGAATAAAGCAGTATTGGATTATAAGCCCGAGTATAACATAATTAAAAAATTTATGAGTGAGAAAAGACAAATCTACTGAAGAATTCTAATAAATTATGTACCCTAGAAGACAGAGAGAAAAAAACTCCCCACTCCTTAAGTGTGGACTGTTCATAGTTATCTCTTTCCAAAGAGTATATAGTGTGAAAAGAGAATATAGTAACCTTCCAGGGGAGAAATTGGAAAAACGCTCTATCAGGCAGGTGATCAAGGTCATCAGCAGTCATAGGTCACGTCAAATAGGATATAGACTTGACCTGATGAGACAAAGTGACACTTTATCTCTGTGATCTCCCCCCACTCCAGTCTATTCATGAGAAAACATCAGACCAATAAATTCCATCCTACAATGATAGACCTGACTAGTATCTTGGGAAAATCATCTAGATCATCCTAAATGAGAAACTTCCAGAGCCAAGAGGAGCTTAAAGGGACATGACAACTAAATACATTATGGTCCACTGGATGGGATCCTGGAGCAGAAAAAGAAAACTCAGAGAAACTAGGGAAATCTGAATAAACTATGGACTTCACTTAGTAATAAAGTATCAATCCTGAATCATTAATTGCAACCAACGTACCACACTAAGATGTTAATAATAGTGGAAGCTGTGTGTGTCGGGGAGGGTGTAAGCGAGTGCTCTGAACAATCTCAACTTTTCTGTAAATCAAATACTGTTATACAAATAAAGTCTATTAATAAATCAAATAGAGGCAAAAAATTAAAATAAAAAAGTGTTCATTTGGTGCCCTTGCTTTTCTTATGGTTATCTTTAAAGCCACACATAAACAAATAACTAAAACACTTTGGCAATTTTGGATTGAAAATTCTTGTGAGAGATCTAATAAGAGCAAGATTGCTTCCCACCATGTCAAGCCCAGCACAGCACTGCAGATTATCATCAGGAGAAGGAGAGCATCCTATGTTAGGATATACTCAGTATTACTCAGTATACCTGAGTACTCCACGGGTACTTCATTTCCCAGCTTCCCTTGCAGTTAGGCTGGGCCATGTGGCTAGTTCTAGACAATGAAACCTGAGTGGAATGGACTGTGGCATGTGCCACCTCTAGGCCAAGGAAGTGAAAGGTACTTGTGTCCCCAACCTCCCACTCTTCCCTTGTAAGTTTACCTTGGAGGCCTTGTGTGTTCCAAGGGTTTCACTATAGATCAGTGGTTCTCAACCTTCCTAATGCCGCAGCCCTTTAATACAGTTTCTGTGGGTTGCGACCCACAGCTTGAGAACCGCTGCTCTAGATGGAGGAGGTGACATAATCCAAACAGGACTTTACCAGAGTGAGGAATAAACTAAACTGTGTTAATCCATTGAGACTTTGAGTTCATGTGTTGAAATGGCCATGGTTATTTACCCTTAAGTACCAGTAATTGCCATTAGCAAGCACACATTCCTTCCCAACCAACAGTTGGAAATCCTAACATTTCTCTGTAAGCTTGTGGGTTTCAGAATACTGCTACTTACCACAGGCAATGGTCCAATAAACCAGAGAGTCGGGAGTCTGGTACAGGATGCGGTAAGGAGCCACCCGAGCGCTGGAGTCCAGCACGACGTCAAGTGTACCCACCAGGAGGCCTGAGGGTGGAAAACGGGGAAACAGGTAAGGATTTCCTCTGTATTTCCCCAAATTCCCAGGGGCAGTGTGAATGTGCCTTCTGTTGGTTTTCCCAGCAACCCCATCTCCCACTGCAAGACGCCTTGACAAAATTTCGTATTAGATGTGATGATGCTGGCTCTACACTACATGCTCCAACAGACTCCAAAGAAACCACAAGCTGAAAAGCAGACCACTGGCTTCAAAACTATAGAAGGTGACCAAAGCTCCTAGCATAGTCCTCGGCACAAGGTGTTTATAAAAGCCTGTTTAAAATAAGAATAAGCAAAATACTGAGCACTCGTATGTTGGGGTGTCTGCTTTACTCACATTATTCCTGATGTGTTTTTATTTTCCCCTTTTCACCTAAGGAACAAATCCTTAACATGAGTAACTAGAAAATCACAAGAGCCAGTCAGGTATACCTGATTCAGTTGTCCAGGCTGTCCCACTTGTTATTTTAATCTGTCCCACTTTCCTTTTGTATTTAAAAAAACTAGTATAAGTCAGCTCAGCCAACACTAATTGAGTTCCTATTATGTGCAAGTCTAACCCTGTGGGCATAAAGTTGGAAAAGCACAGAGCCTACCGGGCATTTATAATCCATCAAGCAGTGCTTTAACATTGGGTCTGGGAGAGAAAAACGACCTGGACTCAGGAGGATCTTCCCATTTCAACAATGGAGTGCTTTGCCATTTGTGACATCAATCATAATAACCAGGGGTGACAGACCTTGGTCCTGTACTCTGTAATAATGCAGGAATAAGGTGGAGGATCAGGACACACACAAAGTTGATTTCTTTGAGTTTGGAACGTCAATGGGCCACTTATCCACCACTGCCCAGGCCCTTGGGGAAACTCGTTCACATCTTTGAAGTCCAGACAAGCCTGGCTACCCAGAAAATGAATTTAGGAACTTCTTTGTGTGAAATACAAATGCCCAGTACACCAGAGCTCACAGAAGAAGAGGCAGTGCCCTCTCTTTCCAAGAGGGAAGTTGACATCAAAAGTGCATGAAGAGCAGAAAGCAGCTTAGTGATCAAAGCTGGAAGGTGTCTCTAACGAGAAGTCTACTCAGGACCTGGCTGAGGCACTCCAGCCCTGAGCCGCACAATCCTGTTTCTCACTGAGCAGTCCTTTTTCAATATGCTGAGCCACATTTTCAGGTACAGAGATGACAGCAAAAGGATTCTGACAGCACTGTCATCAGTGCAAATTTCTCTTTTAATTGCCTTTTAACCACACTGCACTGGGATTAAACACCAAACATCTTCTATACTTTTCTAAAATAGCACAGATGCACACACATGTAATTCTACAAGATATAATAAACCAGATCCTTTAATTGGAAGGATGAATCCAAGAATCCCATAATTTAAATGCCCTAATGACTCCAAACCTAGATGGAACTCAGCACTGAGCAGGGCCTGGATACAGAAAGACCAATTGGGAACTTAGGCCAGTTGAATAATTTTAAGTCAAGACACTTTATTTCCAAAGCCTTGATTTTCTCAGTTGCCAAATGAGGACAATCACTCCCACAGGACTGTTTCTGGAGACTGAAGATAATAGGATGTAGGGGTGACAGGCTTCTGGGAGTGAGAGGTTAGGTCCCGTGACTAGAACCTCCCAAGATGTACCTTTAACTTAATTTTACTTTTATTTATAATTCGTGTTTATTGAGATAGATTTGGGATGGAACTGAGCGTGGTTAATGATGAGAGACAAAGGCTAAATCCCCCAGCCTGCCTTGTTCTGTCACTGTTGAAACTAAACAGCACACTGAAATGCACCAACTTTAGTGCCCATAGCACGCGTCTCATGAAGTCGTATTGAATCAGGGCCACAGGTTTTTTTTTGAGAGAGTTTCACTCTTTCACCCTGGGTAGCTGTCTTCATAGCTCCCAGCAACCTTAAAGTCTTGGGCTCAAGTAATCCTCCTGGCTCAGTCTCCATAAATAGCTATGCTATTTTGTAAGAATGTATTAAGGTTTTGCTCTGGCCACACCAACTAGTACCCTGATAAACCCAGGACCCCAGACACACTTCCCTCCTCTCTGACAGCCTGGAGTCAGGGAAGGAGCTATGAACTAGTCAATTCCGGTTCAGAAGAGCTCAGTTCCAGCTCTCACTTTGTTGTACCTAGCTCTGGGGGATGGGACAGGCCATTTAACTTGCAGCTTTGATTTCCTCAGTTGTAAAGTGATTGTAATAGCACTTGCCTTCCTAAAACAGGGTTATTAATCAAGAAGCCTACATGAGGTAGACCATGAGGAAGTCCTACAGTTGCCCTTGGTCTTTGTCCAAGGGCAAGGAATCCATTTAGATTAACTCCAAACCACAGTGACCATGAGCTGACCCAAACACACCAGGGGTGGGAGGTGGGGAGAAAGAAAAACACCTGCTGAAGTGGAAATTAACTCATTCGCTTGCTTTGGCCTTTAATGCGTATGAAACGCATTAAAAATAAAATTCTTAGAGCTCGCAAAGTTTTCCAGAGGCATAGATTTCCACATAATGTCCCACATATGTGTGTTTTTGTTTGCTTTACTGTGACTTGGGTTGACTACAAAGATCTCTAAATATTTTTCATTTTCTACGGATGGACAAGCTTATTAATAAAAAAAAGTGGAAAGTAATGCTAGCTGAGAAAAGTGGATTTCCTTCTACGCTAACTAGATGTACGAATGCATCACTGATGATTATTGAGTGTTTATAACACCTCTCTTTTCTTGAATCAAAAGAAAAAACAAAAATGCTAAAACTACTGCAAGTGTCACATACGTTGCTTCTAAGCTACAGAAACCCTTGCCTGTGTTAGGGAGTTGCAGTCAAGGATTAGCGCAGTTTCTGGCAGAGTGTTGTCATAGACAGTCTGCTCCAAGGGACAAGTATAATTCACTGGGCAGAGCAGTGGACAATGCCATCCTGGTTCTAGAATACTTCTGTCCTTGCCTGCCACTTCTTAACTCTAAGACCCAACCTGCTGCGCCTCAGTTTCTCCACCCTTTAAGGCTCCCCAAACTTATGTACTCTATAACATAAAAGAGGAAAGCCTTCGGAAAGGGCCCAACCCGATCCACACATTTTGATCATCACAGATGTCTTCAATTTGCAATCCATCCCCGATATAGACTATCCTCATTAACAAAACCTCTGGTGTCCATCAGAGGTAAAGAAAACTGGATTGCTTAAAGTAGATTCCCCAGAGTGAGGGTTTCTGATTAGATGCCGGTTCTAAGTATCCATTCATAACTGGCATCACCAACGTCCACTAAGATACAAATGAAAACAGATACATACTTACCACAGATAGCATAATATCGGCAAATTAAATAAATTAATTACTAAAGTAAATTACAGGTAGTATGATGTTGGGATATTGCATTAGGTGCATTTAAGTGAGAAAATTTTTGCAAAGAGTCCCTGAAAACTTATCCAAACAGAAAGTAGTATGTGAATTGAGATATGCTGTTGGCAAGTCGAATCAGTAATACACTCATTCCTCACTAGCCCAGATGTGCTGCCCATTGCAGCACTGAGCAGGCTTTTCCTTCCGCTTTAATGCTGGGCCTGTCTTAACTTCCACTCTTCACTTCCCCCACCTCAAATGACAAACTCCCAATTGTTCAATGCCGCCTCTTTATAATTCTACTCTCTCCCAGTTTTCCTTCTGTAACGTCTACATCTTGCCTTGCTCTGTCTTCTTCCTTTCTCTCCAGTTTGGGGGCTCCTCTATGGCAGCATTTAATTGATTCTTTTGGACCATAGGCCCTGCACTTTGCTTGGAGCCCTGAACACACATTTGATAAATAGATAAGCTAGGTACTTTTTAAAAAGCTAAATAACAAATGATCAAGGTGGTGCCTGTAGCTCAGTGGGGAGGGTGCCGGCCACATACACTAAGGCTGGTGGGTTCCAACCTGGCCTGGGCCAGCTAGAACAACAATGACAACTGCAACAGAAGAAATGGCCGAGCATTGTGGCGGGCACCTGTAGTCTAGCTACTTGGGAGGCTGAAGCAAGAGAACTGCTTAGGCCCAAGAGTTTGAGGTTGCTGTGAGCTGTGATGCCATAATACTCTACCCAGGGCAACAGCTTGAGACTGTGTCTCAAAAAATAGCGATCAGGGTGCTTTCTAGATCGTACTGATACAAGAAGGCAAGACTTTGGGAAAGAAAAAATACTCCTATTCATAGAATACTAGGAGGAGGGAAATCTGGTCTGGAGAATCAAAAAAAAAAAAAAAAAAAAAAAAAGGAAGGAAAGAAAAGAAAAGAAAAAAAGCATCAATTAGGGTTTTCTTAGGAGCCTTATTACTCATACCTCTGAAATCACTGTCAAAATACTGAACCTTTTCATCATTTCCCACAAAAAGCACTGTTTTAGCAGCTGCTCTAGTCAGCTATTTCTGGTGTTAAACAATCTCTGATTGCCTGAGATAACTAAATCTAATTATGGCCCTCAAAATAACTCTTCTCTGCATCAACCTATTACATTAGTTGGGGAGCATCTTGTAACACAAAAATGCTGTGTTCAAGGATATTCAGAAAACACTTGACAAAATTGGTATTTTAAACCTCCCACTTGGTTGTGGGCACCAGAGGATGTGAATGTGGTCACCACTCCACACCTAGAGCACTGCCAGGGTCCTGGAACCAGCAGGCAGGCCACAGCGCTGCAGGGGGCAGGCCACCCCCTCCGTGTGGGCGAGGTGTGTGGGGAGAGTGCTGCACACTGAAATGTTCTTATGGAAATGACCAATCCGTCTACAAATGATCTTGAATAATTTAATGCTAAACTGGAAAGGATCCTACAGATCCCTTGGCCTCCTCTACTCCTTCAGCCGTGAAACCAGGCAGAGACGGGGTAGAGATCTATGAAGACCACAGCAGAGTGGCCAGGTGGTCAGGGGAGTGGGCTCAGCCTCGGCTCACAAACCAGCCAGTGCCTTCTCTGTGCCTCCAGCTTCCTG